CCCAATAACTACCCCTCTAATAACTATACCTTTATACCTAAAACTAACAGCCCTTATAGTAACAACTCTAGGCTTTATTCTCGCATTCGAAATTAACACCTACTCAAAAAACCTAAAATATCCCTATCCATCAGACTCTACTAAATTCTCTACCCTGCTAGGTTACTTCCCTACAATTATACACTGCTTACCCCCTCACCTAGTCCTAACAATAAGCCAGAAATTCGCAACCTCCTTGCTAGACCTGGCCTGAACAGAAACCATTCTACCAAAAACTATAGCTCTCATTCAACTAAAGGCCTCCACACTAACTTCAAACCAAAAAGGGCTTATCAAACTCTACTTCCTATCTTTCCTCATCACTATAACCCTTTGTATGCTACTATTTAATTACCCCGAGTAATCTCCATAATAACCACTACACCAATAAACAAAGACCATCCAGTAACAACAACCAACCAAGTGCCGTAACTATACAACGCAGCAATCCCTATAGCTTCCTCACTAAAAAATCCAGAATCCCCTGTATCATAAATGACTCAATCCCCTAGTCCATTAAACTCAAACACAACATTCACTTTTCCACCCTCTAAAACACACCACCACTAAAAGTTCTACCACCAAACCTAAAAGAAATCCCCCTAGTACGACTTTATTAGAAACCCAAACCTCAGGATACTGCTCAGTAGCTATAGCCGTTGTATAACCAAACACAACTAACATTCCTCCTAAATAAATCAAAAATACTATTAGACCTAAAAACGAACCCCCAAAACTAAAAACAATTCCACATCCCATAGCGCCACCCACAATCAACCCTAAACCACCATAAATTGGTGAAGGCTTTGAAGAAACCCCCACAAGACTAATTACAAAAATAGTGCTCATAATAAAAACAATATATATTGCCATTATTCTCACATGGACTCCAACCACGACCAATGACATGAAAAATCATTGTTGTAATTCAACTACAAGAACCTTAATGACCAACATCCGAAAAACACACCCACTAATAAAAATTCTCAATGACGCATTCATTGATCTTCCCACTCCATCTAATATCTCCTCATGATGAAACTTTGGCTCCCCTACTAGGCCTCTGCCTAATCATACAAATCCTAACAGGTTTATTCCTAGCAATACACTACACGCCAGACACCTCAACTGCCTTTTCATCAGTCGCACACATCTGTCGAGACGTTAACTATGGTTGACTCATTCGCTATTTACATGCAAATGGAGCCTCTATATTCTTCATCTGCCTTTACGCCCACATCAGACGCGGCCTATACTATGGCTCTCATATATTCCAAGAAACATGAAACATTGGCGTACTCCTACTATTAATAGTTATAGCCACTGCATTCGTAGGCTATGTCCTACCCTGAGGACAAATATCATTCTGAGGCGCAACCGTTATCACTAATCTCCTATCAGCAATCCCTTATATTGGCACTACCTTGGTAGAATGAATCTGAGGTGGGTTTTCCGTAGATAAAGCAACACTAACACGTTTCTTCGCTTTCCACTTTATCCTCCCATTCATCATCACAGCATTAGTAGCTGTTCACCTGCTATTCCTACACGAAACAGGATCCAATAACCCCACAGGAATCCCATCCAACATAGATATAATCCCATTCCACCCCTACTACACAATCAAAGATATCCTAGGTGCTTTACTATTGATCCTAACCCTGCTAGCACTAACTCTATTCACACCTGACCTACTAGGAGACCCCGATAACTATACTCCAGCAAATCCACAAAGCACCCCTGCACACATCAAACCAGAATGATATTTCCTATTTGCATATGCAATCTTACGATCAATTCCCAATAAACTAGGAGGAGGACTAGCACTACTACTTTCCATCCTCATCCTAATCTTTATTCCAATACTTCAAACATCCAAACAACGAAGCATAATATTCCGACCCTTTAGCCAACTCTTATTTTGAACTCTAATCGCAGACCTCCTAACCTTAACATGAATCGGAGGCCAACCTGTAGAACACCCATACATCATCGTAGGCCAATTAGCATCTATCCTATACTTTCTCCTAATCTTAGTGCTAATACCAACAATCAGCCTTATTGAAAATAAACTCTTAAAATGAAGAGTCTTTGTAGTATAACAAAATACCCCGGTCTTGTAAACCGGAAAAGGAGAACCCCATTCCTCCCTAAGACTCAAGGAAGAGACATTAAACCTCACCACCAACACCCAAAGCTGGAATTCTACATAAACTATTCCTTGAAAAAGCTTATTGTAGAGTTACCATAACATTATAGTACTATGTCAGTATTAAAAGTAATTTGTTTTAAAAACATTTTATTGTACATATCACATACACATATACACTTGCATATTAATATTTTAGTCTCTCCTTGTAAATATTCATATGTACATGCTATGTATTATTGTGCATTCATTTATTTTCCATACGGTAAGTTAAAGCTCGTATTAAATTTCATTAATTTTACATATTACATAATATGCATACTTGTACATATTATATGTCCCCTAACAATTTCATTTCCATTATATCCTATGGCCGCTCCATTAGATCACGAGCTTAATCAGCATGCCGCGTGAAACCAGCAACCCGCTCGGCAGGGATCCCTCTTCTCGCACCGGGCCCATACCTCGTGGGGGTAGCTAACGGTGATCTTTATAAGACATCTGGTTCTTACTTCAGGACCATCTTAACTTAAAATCGCCCACTCGTTCCCCTTAAATAAGACATCTCGATGGACTAATGACTAATCAGCCCATGCTCACACATAACTGAGGTTTCATACATTTGGTATCTTTTATTTTTGGGGGGGGCCTGCACCGACTCAGCTATGGCCTTAGAAAGGCCCTGTCACAGTCAGATAAAGTGTAGCTGGGCCTGTGTGTATTTTTGATTGGACTAGCACAACCAACAGGTGTTATTTAATTAATGGTTACAGGACATAGTACTCTATTATTCCCCCCGGGCTCAAAAAACCCTATCTCATAGGGGTTTAAACCCCCCTTCCCCCTTACAAAACTGATCGTCTGCTTTAATATTCGCCACCCCCCTATACTGCTTCGTCCCTAGATCTATGCGCACTTTTTTTAATAAATCAATACTAAATCTGACACAAGCCCCATAATGAAATTATACAAATAATTTTCTACTCCACGGGTTAATGTAGCTTAAATTTTTATAAAGCAAGACACTGAAAATGTCTAGATGGGCATTACTGCCCCATCAACACAAAGGTTTGGTCCTAGCCTTTCTATTAGTTCTTAGCAGACTTACACATGCAAGCATCCGCATCCCAGTGAGAATGCCCTCCAAATCATTAAAGACTAAAAGGAGCGGGTATCAAGCACACTACGCTAGTAGCTCATAACGCTTTGCTTAGCCACACCCCCACGGGATACAGCAGTGACAAGAATTAGGCTATGAACGAAAGTTTGACCTAGCCATGCTAACTAGGGTTGGTAAATTTCGTGCCAGCCACCGCGGTCATACGATTGACCCAAATTAATAGACACCCGGCGTAAAGAGTGTCAAGGAGCAATACAAAAATAAAGTCAAACCTTAATTAAGCTGTAAAAAGCCATAATTAAAATTAAGTTAAACTACGAAAGTAACTTTACCATAAACTGAGTACACGACAACTAAGACCCAAACCGGGATTAGATACCCCACTATGCTTAGTCGTAAACTTAAATAGTCCTAAAACAAGACTATTCACCAGAGTACTATCGGCAACAGCCCAAAACTCAAAGGACTTGGCGGTGCTTCATATCCTTCTAGAGGAGCCTGTTCTGTAAACGATAAACCACGATTAACCTCACCAATCCTTGCTACTTCAGTCTATATACCGCCATCTTCAGCAAACCCTAAAAAAGGAACGAAAGTAAGCACAACTATTGCACATAAAAACGTTAGGTCAAGGTGTAACCTATGGATTGGGAAGAAATGGGCTACATTTTCTATAATAAGAACACCCCTTAAACCCACACGAAAGTTTTTATGAAACCTAAAAACTAAAGGAGGATTTAGCAGTAAATTAAGAATAGAATGCTTAATTGAATAAGGCCATGAAGCATGCACACACCGCCCGTCACCCTCCTCAAGTGCCATAGCAAAGCCCCAGATCGCTAACCCATGCTAAGCAAGCGTACAAGAGGAGACAAGTCATAACAAGTTAAGCATACCGGAAGGTGTGCTTGGATAAACAAGATGTAGCTTAAATAAAGCATCTAGTTTACACCTAGAAGATTTCACAACTTGTGCACATCTTGAACTATATCTTGCCCATACCCCTCCCCATCACTACTACTATAAGTTAATCAAATAAAACATTTACCATACATTTAAAGTATAGGAGATAGAAATTTAAATATCAATGGCGCTATAGAGAAAGTACCGTAAGGGAAAGATGAAAGAGTTATTAAAAGTAGAAAAAAGCAAAGCTTACCCCTTGTACCTTTTGCATAATGACTTAACTAGTAATAATTTAGCAAAGAGACCTTAAGTTAAATTACCCGAAACCAGACGAGCTACTTATAAGCAGTAACTAGAACAAACTCATCTATGTGGCAAAATAGTGAGAAGACTTGTAGGTAGAGGTGAAAAGCCTAACGAGCCTGGTGATAGCTGGTTGTCCTAGAAAGGAATTTCAGTTCAACATTAAACAATACTAAAAACCACAGCAAGTTTCAACGTATGTTTAATTGTTAGTCTAAAAAGGTACAGCTTTTTAGAAATGGATACAACCTTTACTAGAGAGTAATATAAAACTTAAACCATAGTTGGCCTAAAAGCAGCCACCAATTAAGAAAGCGTTCAAGCTCAACAACAAAAATAAGTTTTAATTTCAACAATAAATAAAATAACTCCTAGCCTGACTATTGGACTAATCTATTTAATTATAGAAGAAATACTGTTAACATGAGTAACAAGAAAAATTTTCTCCTCGCACAAGCTTATATCAGTGACTGATAATATACTGATAGTTAACAGCCAATAAATATAACCCAACACTAAACTATTTATTAAACATACTGTTAACCCAATACAGGTGTGCACCAAGGAAAGATTAAAAAAAGTAAAAGGAACTCGGCAAACACAAACCCCGCCTGTTTACCAAAAACATCACCTCTAGCATAACTAGTATTAGAGGCACTGCCTGCCCAGTGACAATCGTTAAACGGCCGCGGTATCTTGACCGTGCAAAGGTAGCATAATCACTTGTTCTCTAAATAAGGACTTGTATAAATGGCCACACGAGGGTTTTACTGTCTCTTACTGTTAATCAGTGAAATTGACCTCCCCGTGAAGAGGCGGGGATAACACAATAAGAGGAGAAGACGCTGGCCCTCCCTCAGCGTCTCCACGCGGGGGGCAGGCCGACCCAACGGCATTACCACTCGAGCTGCTGGGATTGGCTGATGACTGACGGCGCCTGGACTCGAAGACCCCCATCACCCTCGCCGAGCCCAGGGTAACGCTACAGGTAGCGGGTAAGTCCATCTCATTTCTGGTGGACACGGGGGCTACCTATTCGGTCCTGCCTACCTATTCCGGGCCAGTTTCTCCTTCCCAGATCTCGGTCATGGGTATTGATGGCAAATCATCCTTCCCACTCCAGACCGGTCCACTCCCATGTCATATCGAAGGACTCCCTTTTACTCATTCCTTCTTAGTCATACCACCCTGCCCAGTTCCCTTGCTAGGCCGAGATGTCCTTTTCCACTTAGGGGCCTCCCTCCAGCTGGTTAGACTTGACCCTAAGGTCCCCTCCTCCCAACTCCTGCTTCCTCTTCCCAGCCTGTCTCTAGAACCCTCCCCCTCCTATCCCCCTCTTCCAATCACACTGAACCCAATCAATCCCCAAGTCTGGGATACTTCTAAGCCCATAATAGCAACACACCATTCCCCCGTCCTCATCCGCCTAAAGGACCCCTCCAAATTTCCATCAAGGCCCCAATTTCCTATCTCTGAGACTCACCTTAGGGGCCTACAACCTATCATCACCAGACTCCTAAACCAGGGACTCCTTATCCCCACGGACTCTCCCGGCAGCACCCCCATCCTGCCTGTCTGCAAGGCCTCTGGGGGTTATCGCCTGGTCCAGGACCTCCGACTAATCAATGAGGCCATAATTCCTCTCCACGCAGTAGTACCAAACCCATACACCTTGCTCTCCCATATCCCCCCATCCACAGCCCACTTTACGGTTCTGGATCTCAAAGATGCCTTTTTCACTATCCCCCTACATCCCGACTCCTATTTCCTCTTTGCCTTTACCTGGACGGATCCGGATACTCATACTTCCAGTCAGCTCACCTGACAGTTCTTCCCCAGGGCTTCCGCGACAGTCCTCGCCTCTTCGGTCAGGAGCTGGCACGGGACCTCACTTCCTGCTTCCTTACCCCCAGCACACTCCTTCAATATGTAGATGACCTCCTCCTTTGTAGCCCATCTCTCAGCCTCTCAAGACAACATACTGCAGATCTCCTCAATTACCTTGGCTCTCGCGGTTATCGGGTCTCCCCAGCCAAGGCTCAGTTATCTGTATCTTCTGTAACCTACCTGGGGTTCCACCTTACCGCTACAACAAAAGGTCTAACAGCCGACCGCACCCGGATTATCTGTGAACTCCAGCCTCCGGAAACAGCGGAACAAATTCTCTCCTTTTTGGGCCTTATAGGATTTTTCCGACACTGGATCCCTAACTTTGCTCTCCTCGCTAAACCCTTATATCTAGCCGCTAAAGAAACCCCTCAAGGACCCCTCACCTCTCCTTCCGCCGTTCGACAGGCCTTTCTCACCCTCCTTAACGCTCTGATATCTTCTCCTCCCCTTTCTCTGCCCAACCCAAACCGACCTTTTCACATTTTTGTGGATGAATGGGCCGGAATAGCCACTGGACTCCTTGCCCAGCCTGTAGGGCCTTCCTACCGCCCCGTGGCTTACCTCTCCAAACAGCTAGAGCCAACCATTCGGGGATGGCAACCATGCCTTCGGACCACACAAACACTCAAACTGACTCTGGCCCACCCACTAACCGTGTTTTCCTCCCACCAGCTGGTCGACCTTCTAGGCCACAAGTCTCTCTCCCTCCTGGGCCCCTCCCACATCCAGGAGTTCCACCTGCTGGTCATTGAAAACCCAGCTATTTCTCTTGATCTCTCCCCTCGCCTGAACCCGATTTCCCTCCTGCCTCCTTGATTCAAAAACTCTCACCATCTGTTACGGCAGCCGCCCAAATCTAGCTGATACTGGGTTTCTTTGCAACTCATCCCTCACGGTAAACACATCAGTTGAAGCACCACCAGGCATGTTTTTGTGGTGCAATGGTTCCCTCACAAAAGAGATCAATTCTTCCTCCCCCTTCCCATGTATCCCTGTCACTCTCGTCCCACAACTCACACTGTATAGCCAAGCCGAATTTTCTTCGCTAATCATGCCGCCCTTTACCCGACGAAAAAGAGCCATCTTTCTTCCTCTGGTCGCAGGCATCTCTCTCGCCTCCTCCCTGGTCGCTGCAGGCCCCGGCGGGGCGCGGGGGAGCTCTAACACATAGTGTTTCAACATCCCGCGACTTAGAACATAAACTCCAGCGAGCCATTGAAGCCTCCGCTGGCTCCATCTCCTCTCTCCAGCGCCAGATCACCTCAGTAGCCCGAGTTGCCGTCCAAAATCGACGAGCCCTGGATCTCCTGACGGCCGACAAAAGAGGTACCTGCCTCTTCCTACAGGAAGAATGCTGTTATTACATCAATGAAACAGGACTCGTCGAAGACAACGTAAAAGCCCTCCATCGCTTAAGAGAAGAACTCCAGCGCAAACACCAACGGTCCGCCTCCCCAATTCCCGACTGGTGGCGATCCACCCTCTATACCTGGCTAACACCAATCTTAGGCCCCTTAATTCTCATCTGTATCTTGCTCATGCTTGCTCCCTGTTTTCTTAGGTTCCTTCGCAGGCGCATGGAGGAAGTCTCTCGGGTGGCCACAACCCAAATGCTCCTCGGCCCTTACACCTTGCTTCCTACAGAACCCCCCACTGGCCTCCCCTAAGCCTCGGACCTCTGGTCGCCCGACTCCCCTTTCGACGCCCCCATTCAGCAAGAAGTAGCCAGAGATCAGAACACCGCCCAATTACACCAAAGATGTCGGGATGTAAGGCCAACTGGCCCGAGGCAGGGGAACACAATCAGATTCACAGGTTGCATCAGACCGAAACTCTCCGGACCACCCAGTTCCAGGAACTGACCTGGGGACTTTGCACCCGGCCCAGCCTTCCTGCCTTTCGAGGGGCGGGACCAACGGTCCCCCAGGATACCCGAAAAGACCACCAAATAAGGAATACCC